ACCCCCACACCTGGATAATTTTTTTATTTTTTGCTTTTTTGTGGAGATGAGATCTCGCCATGTTGCTCAGGCCATTCTCAAACTCCTGGCCTCAAGGCATCCTCTTGGCTCAGCCTTCCAAAGTGCTGGGATTACAGATGTGAGTCACCACACCCAGCCAGCCTATCTTCTTAAACTCAGCTCCATTCTGCAGCTGAGATGACCTTCTTAAATCTCAAATATGGGGCTGGGCGCGGCGCCTCAAGCCTGTAATCCCAGCACTTTGGGAGGCCAAAGCAAGACAATTGCCTGAGTCCAGGGGTTTGACACCAGCCTGGGCAACTTGGCGAGACCTCATCTCTACAATAAATCAAAAAATCAGCCGGGCACCTGTAGTTCCAGCTACTCGGAAGGCTGAGGTGGAAGGATCGCCGGAGCCCAGCAGGTCGAGGCTGCGGGGGCCATGAGTGTGCCAATGCAGTCCAGCCTGGGCGACAGAGTGAGACTCTGACTCAAAAAAGCAAAATCTCAAATATAAGTTTCCTTCTCCTCACAACCTGTAAGCCCCTCTAACCTAAGGATAAAGTTCAAGCTTGATAAAGATCCTGATACATCAAGTGCCCAAGACCTGGCTTCCTCAAGACCTGCCCGCCACAAGGGCCTCCCTTCACTGCATTCCCTCTGTCTTAAGCTACACTTCAGGATCACTTCCTCCAAGAAGCCTCCTCAGAACACCCAGCTTCAAAATGTGCCCCCTGTGCTCCTGTGGCTCCCAGGCACACATTTCTACCCCAGCACCTGACACAGCTGGGTGCCTGCAGCTTTCTTCTCCTAACCAGGCCCTAAGTTCATCCAAGACAGGGAGCATGTATTCGTTCGTTCATTCATTCATTCATTCATTCATTCATTCAACTAGCATGTATCCCCTATGTGCCTAGCTCAGCTACAGTACACTTCTAAGTACATTACCTAGGTAAAAGATGTCTCTTTCTTTCTTTTCTTTTTTTTTTTTTTTTTTGAGATTGGAGTCTCACTCTGTCGCCCAGACTGGAGTGCCGTGGCCGCTCCCGGCCACCG